CTGCACCAATGAAACATCTTTTTCAATTTTGAAAAGGTTAAAAACCTATTTAAGAAATAGCACCGGTGAAAACAGTTTAAATGGATTAGCCCTTTTAAATATTTATAAGGAGATTATTCTAGATAAAAATTTGATTCTAGATGAATTAGCCAAATCTCAGATAAAAGTAGACCTCTCTTTATAAATTCAAATCTATGATTATCATATTTTCTTAGTCATAAAATTTTTATATGCAAAACTTAATTATAATGAATTCTTAGTCATAATATTTATGTATTTTTAATAAAAGTATTGCTTTTGCAATAAGAAATATTTATAGATTATTTTGTATTAATTATAATTGTTAAATTATATTTTTTAAAATACCGTACAAGAATTACTTATATTTTATTGAATTATATATTTTTTAAATATAGTTATTTACAATAAATTTTTAATATTAATCTATATAAAAATTTATACATTTTGAAATTTATTTTATTGAATATTATCATTAAAATAAATGCATTTTATTTATACTAAAGTATTTTAATAATAAATAAAATCTATATCTAAAATTTAAAAAAGAATTATTTTTAACACTCAATCAGGTATATTGAGTGATCTTAAAAAATGTAAGGTTCGGGGAGCAAATTTTTTTCTTTCTAAACTATATGGATTAATTTACAATTGATTAAACATAGATTAAATTTTTAGAATAATGTTTTCAGTGTTCAGTCGCTTATTAATCATAAATTTAGCCAAAATTGTTACTAATATTTTTTTTATCATGCTTGTTTAGTGATTAGACACTAATAAAGCACATAATATTGCCAATATTTAAAAGTAGAGTTTGGGGGCTTCGCCCCCAAAAAAATTTAAACTCCCCCCATGGATAAATCATGGCTACGCCATTGCTTATTATACTGTTCCCTTGTTACTGTTGATATTTTATTTATCTCCTTTCCTGCAGATAATTTTTCATATGAAATCATTTCTGTTGTCTCCATTGAAGTAAGTAGCGATTTGTACAGCCTTTTCCCATGTCAAGTCCGGCGTGTTGATTAATTTCATTAATATTTTTTCATTAGTAATTCCCGAACTAATCTATCCCGTAATACTGTATTATACATCTCTTTGAATTCATACGTCTTCTTTTATCTTTAATTTATTTATATATTCTGTAATTTTTTCTCCTCTTCCTTGTTCCCTTTTATAAAAATAATATCTCTTTAGCATAAAATTCGTTTTCTTCGCATAATAATTTTTTAATAGTATAATTATATCATCATATGATATCCTCTAATGTCTTTGGCAAACACAACGTAAATAATTTTGAATAAACCTCAAGTCCAATATTTGCTAATAAAAATGACTTTTTGTCTTCTATTTTGGCGATTTTAAAAATGAATTCCATCTTTGATAAATAAACTTCCATCTTACACTCCTTTATATTAAATTTCTCCATTTGAAACTGCGCCATGTCGTAATTATGTAATAATCTAATATAGTAGTTATGTAATAATCTAATATTTTATTTCAATCATGTCTTTATCTGTTATTTCTCTTCTTTTATATAAAATATATTTATTTATTTTTAATACATTATAATTGAATACAATATATCATTTTATCTTTTTATTATGCCTTGAAGGTATTCTATTACATCTTTGACACATCTCAGATCTCCAGTAGGTAGAGATGAGTACTTCATCAAGTGCTTTGCCGACATTTTATGTGTGATACCTCATGCGCGATACAATACCGTGCCACCCAGCCCCCCAATTCCAGGATTTTATATACATTCCGATCCTCGCGAATCTCCCAATGTTGTCTCATCGCTGCGCTTGAATTTGAAATTAAATGCCTCACAGAAGAGTTATCAATCTTAATTTGAAGATCTATCTTAGTTACAGGCTACCTTACTAACCAAATCCGGTGATATTGGCATAAGGTCGCCTACTTTCCATTACCGCGTTCATATCCTCTTGTCTGTCATTTGAGCCCAACATATACGCACTTAAAAAACATCCTGACCCCTTGCTTATGCAGGCAATGGATTTCTAGAAATCTCTCTCATTATTCGAGCCTCCTTCATTAGTACGATAGGATTGGGACCCTCTAGTTGGCAATTCCGTTGCATACCTTATACCGAGGATCCAACCCGAGGACCATTCTTTACTCTTCTTAATTTCCGCGGGTAATTGTCGAATTTCTTGAAGCTTTTCCATCAAGAATTGACCAATTACTAAGCTACAATGTACGCCATTGGTCTTAGACTCAATTGCAAAATGGTAATATCACTATATTCTCTGTCAAACATAGGTCAACTCCAAAGGCCGCCACTCCTTGCACTTCAAGCGTTGTAAAGCAGATTCATTAGATATTCAAATTGACAATACTATAGCCAGGGCCTTAAATCTGTTGGTATTCCGTCAAACTTCGAGCCCACTGGTCTTTACAGTTCTAATGGTACATGGTCTGGTGGTTCCACCATGATCCCTTGGAATAAAGGAGAATTCCTAACTGGGACTTATCCTGTATTGAGTCTCTTGCCCCTTCCAATATAAAAAGAGATGCTCACATAGACAATGAGGTGAATAAATTCGCTAAATATTCGCTGTCTCTACCTACCATAATCGCCATGATTTCGGCTCTCACGCTTTAGCCCTTTTAAAAAATTGAGCCACAGGATCTCTGCAAGAACTGAAGATCCCAACGAGGGTTACTACCTGCGTCAGATGCTGGTTATAAACATAATAAAATAAACAGCTTTATACAATAAATGAAGGAAACCCCGTGAATGATCATTTATGCTTGGGAATGCATAGACACTCAGCTCGCAATTAACATAAACATTGCCCTACCAAAACATGTCCCATATTTTCGCTAACGAATCAAGGAAAAATATTAGCATAATCTTTTTAATTTGCCATCGTTGAATAATTAGAAAATATACGTATACATGCTGCAGATTATTTATTGTTTATATGTAATAGATCTCGATTACATTCATTTTTTTATATAAACTTAAACATTATTAAAAAATTAGATATATAAAAAAATTTATTTAATTGCATGAAATATGAGCAGCTTTTAAAAATGAGGAATCCGATAGTCTACAATATAAACATATATATAAAATCTCTTTTATATCTTCTTGTTTGAGAAATAAGGTGGTGTCTTCATTATGACTTGAGAATATAGGGACTTATATTTTGCATATTTTTTTGAATTCTACTAAATATTTCCAAAACGTTGGGTGAGAACATTGGTATAGAGATTGAATTCCATAATGCCAGTCTTCAACATAATTTGTTGTGCGACTCCAGCTAAAGTAGAATTGTATTTGTTCCATAATCTTTCATTAAAGAGAGGAGCTGCAAAATTATTTTGTTGCCCTGTAAAATAAATTTACAACAAAAAATAAAATTTTTACTAAGATTTCTACGTCCTCGGATATAGATCTTCTCAAAGTAGGAAATATAATCAGATGAGCCATTCAATTCTCCAAATATTTCGGCTAAGTTATAAAATAAATTTCCAATATGATTACATTGGGATACATGTAAAGGCTGTACAATCGAAAGTCATCATTAAACTCATAGACTTCTTATAATCCCAAATCATTATTTTTCTTAAATGATCCAAGGATATATGCGTGTGGACATCCCGCCCTAAATGCAATCGGTGACTCACTAATATCTTTCTCGGATGTGCCCCTGATAAAATTGTTTTAGCACCAAAACTAAAATTTAAATTATATCTTTTTGAAAATATAATTGATTACATTTATCATCCTTGCATATGTGTGTGCCTTTTTATTTGGTAGTAAGCTATATTATACCAACAGGATTTACGCCCAATTTGAAAGTGAATGGTTTAAGGTTGAAAGAATATTTCATAAAAGAACATCACATATCCATATATTGAATCTTGATAAATCTTCGAGCAGTTCATCCGTGCTCAACATTAAATGGTTGAGCTTCATTTATTATGCTGCTGCAATGATAGATAAAGGGCTGACTTATTTGGCATAACCATCAAGGTATTATTATTATAATTTAATAAGGTAGTTGTGCGAACCAGCGAAGTACTAGATATTCACTTAATTTTGATTTCATCTTTGATATAGCTTTTCTGGCATTATATTTCGAAATGTCATCTTCATGAGTATGATCAAGAGGGCTCTTAAATCATTGTTGTTATAAAAGATTTGAATTTTTTAAGATTTATATTTGGCGCACCTTCAGCATTTTGATTTATTTTATTTGTTCTAAATTTCCTATATTAATGATATAAAAGGTTTGGTTTATCTTTTATAACATTATAATTTATAAAAATATATAGAAAAATGAGAGCTATATATAGAGAGAAAAATAAAAATATATTAGTATATTTATGGATAAATAAAAAAAATGACCCTAATTTTTAACAATTATAAATATTTTGAAAAAACGATTGAGTCCTATCTTTTAACACACAAAATATAAATTAATAATTTATTTAAAAATTAAATAAATTTTTAATAAATAAATTGGTATCAAAAATTATAAATTGGTATCAAAAATTATAAATTAAAAAAATTTTAATATTTGCTTAATATATAAAAAAATATATGTAAAAAAATGAAGGCCAATTCTTAACGATATTAAAATTCCTCCAAAAAATATTTAAAATAAAATTAACTAATCCTTTAAAAATAAATAAGGAAATTGTAATCATGCCTGAAACTTGCCAACTTTTGATCATATAAACAAGCATTTCATATTTTCAAAAGTAAATGCCTTTTTACTTGATTTTGTAATAAAATTTTATATATTTTAATTCATGCAATAATAAATTATAATACTGACTTTAATTGTATAAAAATAAATGAAAAGGAAACATTATGTAATAAAATAAATATAAAATGGCAAAGTCATAAAACAAAATATTGCTTATTACGTTATAACATATATTATTATTGTTCCAACTTAAACAGCTATTTTAAAATAGGCGCAAATTTTTTAAGGTTTAATTGTAACAGAATCAGGAATATGCTTTGAAGCGATGAAATCCAGTACATGGGATAAATACGTGTTTTAAGATCTGTTTCTTTTAAATAGTAACACAATAATGGATACTAGGAGTAGGAATTATGATATAATCAGTTGATATTCGCGTATATATTATTTTTATATATCTGACTATATTACACCTAAAGCTAATTCGATGATAAAGGGCAATATTCAGAAAAAATTGACCTGTATATCAGAAAATAGTAAAATATGTGGTGGCAAGTTATTACAAAAAAAATTGTTGAATATTTCCTAAAATTAAGATGGATATAAAAAATCGATGTGGGAAAATTCCTTTTATTTGTGTTCGATTCATTGTAATAAAGGGTTCATATTATAGTGTAAACCATGCACTTGGCCGAGAGATTTATTTGCATCCTTCAATCGTTTACAGAGGTCGTTTATGATGGAGCCAAGATCGTCATCTTTCTGCTTGGATTGCTTCGCAACATCTTTATAAGGAAGGGTCGAGCTGGGGTGCCATCTTTTTTGGGGGACATAGTCGATTTGATGTATCGCATTATTGAAATGATTGGACTCATTATTGAAAGATGAGTTTTTATAGGTGTGATTGGCGGGCGTGTTACTTTTAGGACGCCACATGATCGAACTGAGCTGAGAGGAGGTCACCATATTATTACCAATTAAAACACTGTTTGAGGTTGAAAACAACGTATTGTTAGCAGAGTTAAGTCGCATTTGGAAAAATGTGTGCGAGAGTTCATCCTTGCGAAGTTGTCTAACATTAGGATTATTAAAAGATATCCTAGATTGCAAATTTTGGGTGTTCCCCATTTTAAGACTGTTAGGGAGGGTGTGTGTTAATGGGTATTTGTCAATTTGGTCTAATATGACGTATAATCCCGTAGAGGTTTTCCTATTATTCAGATCAAATTGTCTAGAAGGGGGTCTCCAAGTTTTTGTTAATGAATTACTATGCCCGATAAGATATGAATCGTTATTGTACGGTTTAATATCGCTCACAAGAAAATTATTATTTAAGGTAGCATATTTTAAGGTGTCATTAATTGAATTTGGGTTATTTTTATAATTTCCACAGTAGTTGTTAAAATAATTTTTATCGAAATAGTTTACAAATTTGATTTTTGACGAGGCGAGCGAAGTCTTTTGAAGAGCTGTAATGCTGATGTTAGATGATCCCGTGGTTCCATTATTATTCCATGAATTAGTGCCTACAGTATTGAATTCATTGACATTCATGATAGGAAATGATGGTAAACCGGATGATATCGATTGATCTTTTAACTTTGAAAAAGTGTATGATAATTTATCCAAAACGGGATAAGATGATGTCAAATAATTGCTTACGTAACTTGGGTCATTTTTAATTTCTAAAGTGCAGCAGTTTTGAGAAAGGCCAACAGGTTCCGCAATGGAAGAGTAGACTGAATCTATAATAAAAAAATAAAAATGTATTAAAATTTTTTAAAAATCTTTCGTGAAATATATCAGCTCCTCAAACTTATTGTAATAAAAATTGGCATGAGGCCGACAAATTAAGCTTACACGAACCGGGCCGGAGTTTTGAAATTTTTTTAAATCTGGTTAGGGAAATTTATGTCATATTCCAACATAAAAATTTTTTTGGCCCAGCCGGACTACTTATACGAACTAATATTTTACGGTCAGGGTCGAGACATGCAAAATAATTACGTATAGAGCCGAAAACCCAGATAAAAATTTTAGAAGCCTGTTCGGGGCTCATGACGGCTTCCAAAAACTATATTATTAGTTTTATCATAAATACTTGAATCTTTCATATGAAAATTGTTAGAAAGATCAAAAGTATCATATTCTCTTTCTTCCTTCGTGAGTTCTCCAGATATAAGTGAAACGATGTTGCTATCGATATTGATGTTAGTTGGTACGTTGGGTTCTATTTTTGATGATTCGTAAAATAAAAAAATTTTGGGTGATCTTTTATCAGAATTATTTTTAAATTGATCATCAAATTGGGTTGACAAATTTTTTTCAAATTCTATACACTTATCTGTTACCACATTATCGCTAATATTGCTGATTGATTCTCTGATAACTTGATCTAACTCGTCGAATATATGGTCCAAATTTTTGGCACTAAAATTTAATAGCGGAGATTTAATGATGTTCGATAAATCTTTAGGGAAGTTGTTTAAATTCAATTTATTCGTTGTAGTTGACAAGGTACAGATTTTTAGCAAATTAACATTTTTTGTATGAATTTGTTTTGATAAATCGATTTCTTTAACTTCGGTGCTCCTAGGATAATTGTGGACACGATTGATTTCACATGTTGCCCTAAAAATATTGGTATTATTCGATTTCAACTTTGATCTTTGGGCATTGAAATATTTAACGTATGAAAAACAACCATTTTTAAAAACTGGAAAAGTTCTGTCATGCGTATTTTCCTTATCTTTTTTGTCGATTTTAGATTTTTGAAACGTTGTAATACTAGAAAAATTTTTTTTAGCATAATATATAAATGATCTATGGTTAAATAAATGATCGATATTTTTTTTTAAATTACCTTCCATCGCGTATGTAAACATTCTGCCCGTTGGAGATAGTCGATATATTTTTGGATGGTACTGTCATTGTGGCGTCGCAAAAATAATCACCAGAAATGTAATTTTTAAAAACTGAAGTCTTATTTTTGATATTATATAAATTAGATGTAGACGTAACGATGTCATTTTTAATATTAACGCTATCTAGATTAAAACCATTGGAGTGAATTTCTGAAGGAAATCGACGGTGTTTATAGGGTTTGTATTTTTCGAACGAATGACTCTTTTTTCTGATCTCGATTTTTCGCACTAACAAGCTAGATTCAACATTTTTTCCGATTTCAATATTTGATTTTAAGTTTTCCGGCAATTTTTCAGCCGTTTTCGCTAGATTTTTATCGTCATTTTTAAAGACAGAAGAAATTTTTTTTGTGGGAACTCGATACCGTTTGAGTATCGGTAAATTAGGAATGAGATCTGCCTCTTTAGCAATTGCGATTATGCGACGAGGATAAGAAAAAATATTTACACTTGTACTTCCTATATTAGTTTGCGAATATAAATCGTGACTTAGACTGATTGGAATTTTGGTTATGGTCTTCCGATCATTTTTCGATTTTTGAAATAACCTGGGTGAAAGCGGTGTCCTGACCCGGGAAGAACACCTCTTCAAAAATTTATCGATCTTAACGTCATTGAGGGAGTTTGTCATGAGAGATGGTGAGAGGGGTAGCCGACTTTGATTAATACTAGGATCTTCAAATTCCATGGTAATGCCCATTTCTATTTGGTTGACAACCTTGTTCGTGATATTTTCGTTATAAGAGGTAATTTCTTCCAACTTTAGCGTTTTCGGTGGCTTTTTAACTTTACTTTTTGGGTAAGTGTAACGAGAAAAATCCCGGTAGCCATTAACGCCATTTTTTAAATTAATTGTTGAACCGTCGTCTTTTAAGGACTGTCTTAAGGAGGCGGGGACTTGTTTCCCTCCGTTGTATTCTTCCGAAGAAAGTTCGGGGTGAGGGGGGTTATCAGAAGCATTGAACGCGGTATCTTTCCCTAAAAGGGAAAGATTATCATGTCCCCTTTTCCTTGCCTGCGACCTTTTCTTCTTCTTTACTTTCTTGACGACCTTGATACGGCAATTCATTCCTTCCAAGCGATCTATCTCTGATAAGTCGAGCGCCATTTCATCAGTTCTGATAAGAACAACTGTTTCATCCTCGAATAAACTATCCGAACTCATTTTATAAAGCCTTTTCAGGGCGAATTCGTATTCATTAGGAGGAAAATGATTTATATAATTTCTATTTTCTACATCGGAATTAGAAATAATTGGGAGAACACGCTCTCGAGGGGTAAAAGAATTAAGGTCATTTTTCCCGCAAAAAATGCCTAGGCTTTCGGTGGCAATATCGGGTGAAGATTCAAGATTTTTATGACCAGCGATATTCGATTTATTCTTTACTACCAATTCAGAACGATTGAAAGAGTCAAAGTAAGGAGTATGGATATGATAGACATCTTTGCTGAAAGTGGGTAGATGGCAATAGTTTTTGAATGCATCAAGGTGGAAGTTTTTCAAATGGTACTCTATATCAAAATTGAGACTTTTGGCTTCAAAACCGTGACGCTTTTCCAAAAAATATCTTTGTCGCGATTCAACGATCTCGGGATTATTTAGATCTCTTACTTCCGATATGTAAGATACGTCGCCGACTACCATCTCATCTTTTAAATTGTAATATGATAGATCGAAATGATTTCATATCTACTTTTAAAAAAGATATAACGTGAATATCAATTTTAGGTCATTAATAAATAAAGTATTCATGGTTGATTGATATTAATATTTTTAATTATTGATCTTTAAAAAAAATCACTTGCAAAAGTAAAAAATTTAAAATATAAGTAAAATTCTTATAATTCAATGAGTTAATAGGGTGTTTCTTATAAGATTAACCTAAATATTTTAATTTTTTTAATAAAAAATGTATAGAATATATCGAGTATTAAAATTATATTTTTCATAATCAATTTATGGAGAAATAGAGAGAAACTTGTTAACAAAACAAAAGTAAGTAATTGTATTTCTTATAGTTATAAAATTTTCATAATAGACTCCTTTTTCAGCATTACTTTAAGGTGGTAAATGTAAAAATCTATTTAAAGGGTTTGATCACAGGCGGTTTAATCTAATTTGGTTTCGACCTAAAATTGTATCTAACCATTTATAAAACAAAAAAAAATTTTTTTTAATTTACTTAACATAATATTATCTATTATAATAAAAATAAAGTGATTAAATCTAATCACTTTAAAACAAGCTGCCTGTATCAATATTATAGCCTCCTTGGGTTCTTAGCATGTTCAAGGAATTTTGTGCCTAAAGCAGCAAGGACTTGTAGCAAAACTTTATAAGTCAATAATAAAAATGGGATACTTTATTATCTAAATAAATCTTTTGTTTTAGTAGATTTTCAACGGTTTCTAACTTTGATCACTATTTTAAGGGAATGGCAAATATAGAAAAGAATCTCAGTCCACAAATAGCTGCCTCCATGTTTGTGGTATTTCTAATGCGGGGAGGGAAAAAGGTATATTTAGACATTTGAAATCATAAATTGATTTGTGCGATTGAGAATTGTGATGCATATATATGCATATTCAGCAATTAAGATCTTATAAATCTAAAATTTTTAATATATTTGGTTGGAAGAGTTCGTGAAAAAACCCGAAATGAGGATTTAAAGAAGAAATATAAATTATCTTTTTTAAACAAATCTTCGAAGGCTTGCAAAAGAAAAAGTTTATGAAAGAAGTAGGGAGGAGAAGGTGATTGGCTCACTAATTTATTATAAAAACGCACCATATGATATAAAATAATCAATTATGTATGTATATAGATTCGATACAAAAAAAATATAAGATTTAGGTTGATTATCAAATTAGGAGGAAAATTTATTCATTTAAACACATTGTTTGAGATTTGATAACCTTTCTTTCGCCATTTTTTTTATAAAGTTATATTATTAATTTATATATAAATAAATATAAGTTTATTTATAATAAATGTACTACAAGATTGAATATCGAGGTTATTGTTTTACCATAACACTTGCGTAAGTTAAAATTTTAGAGTAAAAGCGTTCTTCTATCTTTTTAAAAATAAAAATTATTCATGCTTTTTTTAAAAATTATTCATGCTTTTTTTTAAAATTATTATTATAAAAAATATGAATAATTAACAGTTGTTAAACTTTCTAGATAAAAATGTGGTATCTGTAACTGATACACTTTTATAAAAAGTATCTCCATCTAAATATATTTTTATTTTACGTTTTTATATATTAAAAATAAAAATATCTGAATTCAATTCATTAAATATTATATCCGAGTTTATTTCATTACAAAAAACTAGACAAATGTTATTTTAGAAGTCAGCATAATAAATTATATTCATTAAAAAAAATTATATATCAGATCAATATTGCAAAGTGATGATGAATTCAAATATTGAATTTCCTTGGTCAAGTCTTAGAATGCATCCTTATCAAATTTGATTAGACAGATACAAATGGAAGAAAATTTATATTAAAAAAACAATTAATACAGAGATTAGTTGATAAACTATCAAAGTTTACAACAAAATGTAAACAGATAACTATGAAAAAAATAAAATGACTATAATATGCTATTCTATCACTCTTTAGAGGATATGATTATGAATAAATTTTGAATAATTTTTTTAAAAATGAATGTAGGAATTTTAGTATATTTAAAAATTATCCCAAATTTTATAAATTTAACTAGTTTTTAAATTAAAATAAAAAATTTGTTATTCATGAAGTATAACACTATACTGGCGTTAGGTACCCTGGTAGAAATCATTTATAATGTGCCTACGTTTTTACAGATAAAAGGGGATGCCTTAATTAAGAAAATTTTGAGGAAATCTAATCTATAAACACTTAATTAAATATTTTGTTAAAATCTGACAATTATTATTTATCATTAAATTATATTAAATTGTGTATAGATGAGATCTCAACTCAATAAATTTTTTAGCTCCTACAAAACTTGACTTTACTTACTTTACCCAGAGGCAGGTAAAAAATGCAACAAGGAGGGGAGGGGGGTTGTGGTTGTTATGACACCGATTTACATATAGTTCTTGAAAGTTTTAAGTTTTGGTTCAATAATTTATGGAGTACAGAGTTTTTTTTAGGAATCGTGTGCCCAAAAATATTTTAGTATTATTTTATTAATATTAATCACAGTTGTTAAAGAATGGGAGAACATCTTTCTTTTATTATTTTCAAGTGTAATCAACAACAATTTACAGGATGAAAAATATTTACAGTGTTTCCCATTCAAAAAAGGAAAAGTCCCAATCATAAAAGGAAAAGGTTCAATCATAAAAGGAAAAGTCCCAAACAAAAAAGGAAAAGTGTCAAACAAAAAAAGAAAGGGTCCAATTAAAAAAAGGAAAGGGTCCAATCAAAAAAAAGAAAAGTGTCAATCGGAAAAGGAAAATTCCTATTTCAAAAAAGGAAAATCGTAATTTTTTTAAATTTCTTGTCAATTTTCCTTAAATTTATATTTATTTTTGTTATTCCTTCTTATATTTATAACTTTGCGATTTCTTTACGTTATTTTTCTTACTGTATTCTAACCTTTTCAATCTCTATTTTTTTTTACTTTTTAATTTTTTTTCTTCTCATTTTTGATAATTATAAAAATAAAAATTTAAGAATGATTATTGTATTTAATTGTAATTGCTAAATTAAATTAATCGTTTGGTTATAATGTACCTTTTTAAAATTAAATTTAGTTTGAACTGTAATACCAAACGAAATGTAAATTAATAAAATATTTTTAATAAAATTATCAAAATGAGAAGAAAAAATTAAGAAAAGGTCAAAAAAAAATAAAGATTAAAAATGATTTAAAAAGATTGAAAAGGTTAGAAATGTATGTAAAAGATTACAATATAAGGAGAAAAAATCATAAAAAGAATATTGTATGCATGATGAAAAAAAGTGAAGAATTGTTTAAAAAAAATGGAGCAGAGATGTGAAGAAAAATAACGGAAAATTTATTATTTTTAAAAAGACAAAAGAATTATCAAAAATTAGAAGAAAAATAAATTGAGAAAAGATATAGTAATAAAAATAAACTGAGAAAAGATACAAATAAAGTAAAGAAATCAAAAAAAATTAAAAATAAAATAGGAAGGAATGACAAAAATAAATAAAAATTTAAGAAAAATTGACAAAAAAATTATGATTTTCTTTTTTGAATGAGAATTTTCCTTTTTTGATTGACACTTTTCCTTTCTTTTTGGGAATTTTCCTTTTTTGATTGGATCTTTTCCTTTTTTTGATTGGATCTTTTCCTTTTTTTGTTTGACACTTTTCCTTTTTTGATTGAACCTTTTCCTTTTATGATTGACCCTTTTCCTTTTATGATTAAAACTTTTCCTTTTTTGAATGGGAAACCCTGTATTAATAACATAATTAATTTAAATAAATATTATCCAGACCGACGAAATATATGAAAAAGTCATAAAAGAAGATAAAAAGTTAATAAACAGAAATAATCCCGTCTTTATATAAGTGTATTCCCTCTATGTATGTGCTTATATTTTTAAGCCAATGAAAACATAGAAAACCCGGCGAGGTTATTATGTGCTCATTTGAACAACCAATAGGGGATTTTTCCCCAATTGCTAGGTGGTAATATATATGGTTGCATATCTTTGCAAAAAAAATTTGTATCATTTTCAAATTTTGAATGAGGGGGCAATTAACAGAATAATTAAAATATGTTCTAAACACAACAGGAAACATCTGTAACCCTGCTATATTTCAAAAATCAAGAGCGGGAAGGGAGCTATCTCTTTTTTGGGATAGAGTAAAGGAGCGCCATTCCTCCACTCCTTTAATTTTACTGCATATATTGTTTAAAAATTAATTTTTGTTAAATAAATAAGAGAAAAATATTAAATATTTATGATTTATCTACAAAATATTGAGCCGAGTTCTTATTTAAATTAAATTTTTTAATTCTCTTTTTCAAATCATAAATGCAAAATAATAGTGTTATTAAAGGCAAAAGATACTGGATTGGATAAAATAAAATTTCCATCCTACATTAAATAGAATCTTAATGAAACAACTTTCTTGGATATAACAGCTCATTAATGGACTCGAAATCATTGCATAGAAAGTCTAGAACCTTAGCCTTAAAAAATGTTGAAGCTTAATGTCTTGGCAAAAATTATAATAAATATAATAGAAGAATCCAGAACAAGTATGGGCGGACTGACCAGTAAACCTAGTGCGAAAAAGTCTCCGGGGCTTTTAGATTTCAAAAATCTTGAGATTTTGAGAAAAAAAAGATTTTTTTTTAAATTGATATAAAATTTAATTTTCTAGAGCTATAAAGGAAATATAAATTAAATTTAAAGGTTTAGCCCAGAATAGTCAAAAAATAAAACCATTTCCCTATTTTTATTGGTTCTTAAAAAATGGGGATTCAAAAGAAATTAAATAGGGAAGAAATATTTTCGAATTATTATTGTCTTCAAATAAATAAAGAAAACATTAATTTTAGGTTAAAATAAAAAATAGCTAGTCAAGCTTAGAAAATTTCATTTGCCCCTGATTTAAAATATTGCAAAACTTCGGGAAATTCTTTTCATTCCAAATGTTCAAACCGAATCTTACATATATTATTCATATGGTTGAGCTATGAAATGCAAGTAAAAAATCAACAACCATTCCCGCTAATTATTCAGACGTTATATTCATTCCATTACAGCGAATATAAAATTACCAATATTAAAAATTTTAGCAATATAAAAAGAAAAAATATTCTCATTTTATCTCATACATATGCTACTATTTTTTAGGCCAAATCTCTTGAAAGAGATGCGAGATTTGGTCAAATGCTAACGATTTATAGTTCTGCTCAAAGATAAATTAATATGTCTCAATACACCACTACACTAAATCATATATACTTGTTTTATTTCTTTTTAAAAATTTATATTATATTTTTATGTTTCGATTTTTATTTTTAATATTATAAAAATATTCCAGAGCTTGACTTAATTCTTATAAATATTTTATTTTTTTGTTTTTTTCTAATCATCTTTAGAGATATTGCAATCTCTGATTCCCCGCCATTTATTATTTCACGTTATTTGCTACAACAGGCATTCTCTAATGTATAAAATAAATATAGAAGCAAGTGTATATACGACTGAAAAAATTTATTAAATATACTACAATAAAAAAATAAGAATTATACAATAAAATTAATCTTAATATATAAAAAATATGGAAGATTAAATTTATTAGAGGCGACTTGGCATGATAGCCAATGAATGAAATATTATTATATATAATAATTAAGAATATAAAAGTTTATAAATACTCGAAGAATAATGCATTTAAACTCAAAGGACGATTAATTCTTAATAGATCATAAAAACTTTAAAAAATGAGATTAATTCATTTAAATGGATCATATACATTAAAAAAAATTAGATTCTTTTAAATTATAATACTGTGTACCAGATTTCAAATAATATCATATAATTCCCGGCCACATGCAGATCCTGACCGTAGACCATTAAAAGGTCAGGTTATTCTAAATTAATCATTTTAAAATTTTATTTTTTAGAATGTTTAAGGATAAAAGTTCTGAAATGGATGAAGATTTTTAAGGTGTGAATATCAATGATATCCTGACTAAAGAAAGTTCGTTTTAAGTAATGGGCGGGTGTGGGCTGGTGGATTTTTTAATAGGGGAAATGAGCAGAAGAGACTTCAATTTATTAATAGTTTTATTTCATAATATTGCATATCATTTACATTTAATTAAAAATACATTTAAATAAATGAATAAAGAGCCAAACCAGCTTTAAAATAATTTTTAAACATTATGTGGGAGGGTTAAACAAAATTTATAGATAAATGTGCCGAGGGGGGGGGGCTAAAAAATTCCAAACAACGAATGGGCAGGTTTTTAGGCAGGCCTCTAATATAGATTAGGTACGGTTAATTAATTTTTTTTTTGAGAGGTCACTACTAGAAAATTTAATGAGGTAACGGCAATTTCTTTATGTTAAATTTCTTAATTTTTGTTATAAAATCTTACAATATTCATCTACACTAATTATTATTCTATTTCATTCGCAATTTTAGATAAAATTTTATAATTAATTACTTAGCCTAGAAAGTATATTTACAATTAATACAGATATTTTAAAGATATTTTTTGTATAATATCATCATTTGAAGAGCAAAGTAAACTAGATATTGAATCTGTAACCTCCATCTTTATATTCAATTGGAGTATTGGAAGAAATTATTATAATCTTTAAAACCTGCATTTAAAATGTTAATATTTACTCAGTAATTTATTAAACAGTTAATATGAAAGAATTTGATACTCATTCATTAGTGATAAATAGACAAATATAAGGGGGGGGGGGATGTATTATAAATTTATTTTATTCTAACAACGCCAAGCGCTATATTCTATAAATCAATTGAAACAGGGACAGGATTTTCTCATGGAAGGAGGGGGGGGGGGCTCCTATTTTTTATGAACACTCAATTACTTATATCTTAGTCTATGTTAAAATAATTTTAAATATTTGCTTATAACAAAATTTTAGAAACTATTTCATTAATTTATATAAAAATACTCTAATCATGTATTTATTTTTATTATTTAAAATAAATTTCAAAATGTAGATATTTTATACAGATTATAATAAAAAATTTTATTGTATAAAAACTCTATTTTAAAAAAAAATGTAATTTAACAATAATGGTATAAAAAAATATAACGATATTATCAAAATATAAATAATACACATTACTTTGATTAAAGCATAAATTTTAAGAGTTAATACAAAAATTATATAAATGTATCTAAGAATTCATTTTACAAAAAAAATTTAATTGTAAAAACTAATGACGAGATGGAAAGGTAATGGCGCAAGAACGATTGGCAAGTCAAGTGAAAAGTATAAATTCTTTTGTCAAGGGAGTGATGATGGTAAGGCTTTAAGGGGGATTAATCCCCCCACAGTTGAAGTGAGAAGGACCAGATAATGGTTATCAATATAATTTTTGGTAGAAAGCTATATAATATTATCTCGGCATATGTTAATCAGGTTGGAAGAAGAGAAGTAGAGAAAGATATAATTTGGGACAGTCTATTAAGGGCGACATCGAGACTAGCAAATGAAGAGGGGATTATTCTGGCTGGTGATCTGAATGGACATGTGGGAGCGAGTACTGAGTGTTATGAAGGAGTATATGGAGGATTCAGTTACGGCATGAGAAATCTGGAAGGGGAGAGGATTTTATTAGTGCTGCTATGGATATGATTGTCTGTAATACAATGTTTAAGAAAAAATCAGAGAAGCTGGTGGCTTATAAGTCAGGTAGCACCAAAATAGCAGTGGATTATTTGTTATTAAGGAGATGTAATAGAAGTATAGTAAAAAATGTGAAAATGATATGGGGAGAGGAATGAATTAATCAGCATCGACTAGTTATAGAAGATCTCACTTTAAAAGGCGCCAGGATCACTAAAAGAAAGTGTGTGCCAAGGCTGAAGGTTTGGAAAATGAAGGAGGAACGTTCAATACAGGATGTGGTAGGTATTAAATGTTTGAAAAATATGGAAGGAAAAATGATGATTGATAGTAGTGGTATTAAGAACACCTAGATCTACATGGAAGGACTTTTGAAAGAAGAAAATGAATGGGATAATGATGTTAGTTGTGCAAAGGTAGAAGGTGAAGGGTGTAAATTTGGCAAGGATGAGATAAAGAGAGCAGTGAAAAAGATGAAAAAAGGGAAGGCAGCGGGTTTAACAAGGGTGGTATCAGAAATGTTTAAAGGTTCTGATGACATAGAGATTGAATGATTAATGAATTTAGCCAATCAAATTCTTACAGAAAGAACTATCCCCGAGGATTGGCGAAGAAGTATAATTATCCCAGTATACAAGGGGAAAGGTGATCCTTTAGATTGTGGGTCTTGTACAACTTTCAAACTCTTGAAACATGCAATGAAGGTATTTGAGGGGGTGTAGAGAAGCCGATAAGGGAACAAACTAAAATTGATGAAATGCAGTTTGGTTTTACATCGGGGAAAAGCACGACAGATGCAATTTTTGTGGTGAGACAAATACAGGAGTATCTTGCGAATGAAAAGAAATTGTATTATGCGTTTGTTGATTTGATGAAAGCATTTGACAGGGTGCAACGCGAGATTAATAGATGGGCCTTGAGAAAATCAGGTATGGAGGAATGGTTGGTTATGGAAGTGATAGAAATTTATGTGGGAGCACAAACTGCAGTACGGAAGGATGATGGAGATAGTAAAAGCTTTGAAGTGAAAGTAAAACTTCATCTGAGTCCATTATTATTTATCTTAGTAATTGATGGCTAGAGAAATGCGTGAAGGACTTCCCTGGGAGCTATTATATGCATATGACCTTGTATTAATGGCAAGCAGTGAGGAAGAATTGAGGGATAAAAATAGTAGATGGCAGAGGCTATGGAAACAAAGGGGTTGAAACTGAATGCAACAAAGACAAAGGTGATGATTAGTGGGGTAAAGATGGAGGAAACCGGCAAGTGACCTTGTGGTATATGTGGGTAAGAGCTACTAAAAATACAATCCAATACACCAGATGCCAGAAATGGATGCATAATAGAAGAGGTTAGCAATAATAACCTTTATTTGTAGAACGTGCATAAAAGGGTACAAAATAATGATAACGTAGAAAATGGTGGTCTGGATATTGGCAATGGGTTAACCTTAGGGAAAGTGGATAAGTTTTGTTATTTGGGTTATATGCTAAATGCAGATGGTGGTGTAGATTCTGCCATTGTTGCAAGGGTCAGACAAGCATCGAAGAAGTTCAAAGAGATGTCGTCTATTCTAACAAATACAAAGTCTCTCTGAAATTATAGGGGAAAGTTTAAGTAAGCTGTGTGAGGAGTTTTATAGTTTATGGTGGCGATACATGGGTATCGAAAGCGACCAAGATTGGGTATAGAAATGATTGGAGTGGTAATCCGACGAAATAGACTAAGATGGTTTGGGTGTGTGGAACATATGACAAAAGATGACTTGGTAAAAAGATGCAACTTTGATGGAAGTAGGAGGATCAAGACCTAGAGGAAGACCCAAGATGACGTGGACAAATGTGATAGCGGCGGCTATAAGAAACATGAATCTTACAAATATTGATGCTCAGGACCGTTAAAAATGGAAAAGATCAGAGGGAAAAATGGCCTACCTGGGTAAACCTGGAAACGCCATAAAGCGGAGAAGATATATTAAAACTAAAATCATATTGAAATTTTTTGATTTGAATTTATAAAGAGAGGTCTACTTTTTCTGAGATTTTGCTAATTCATCTAGAATCAAATTTTTATCTAGAATAATCTCCTTATAAATGTTTTTCACCGGCGGTATTTCTTAAATAAATTTTTAACCTTTTTAAAGTTGAAAAATACCTTTCATTAGTGGAGGTACTAATTGGTAAGGTAGCTAAAATAATTAATAATGTTTTGATATTAGGCAGAGAATCAAAAGTGCAATACATATGGAAAGGGGCTGCAGAGCCTTTTTTGGTCTCAAAGAATACTCTGATCTGTCAAGCTTTTGATACCATAATCCGATATCACAAAGTAACTTATCATATGAGCCTACTAAATCATCAGCGTAAAACTCTGAGATTTTCTTAATATCCTCTCGTGTTTCAAGTGCAATCAACAGTTTAGACTCAACCGGAAAAAGAAAATAAGCTTTTTAAAATAAAATTATGACTAATAAATCTTTTCTTTAATTAAAATATAAATGCATCACTAAGGGGAATAAAAATGTTTATTTTATAATAATCCTCAATCGTAAATGCATCAATATTTGAACGATTGGATTGTCTAGCAACTACTCTAGGTCTAAAAATTTCAATCCTAAACATATTAGCAATCTCTTTTACTTTATCATATATTTCATGTAATTTTTATCATCCACATTCTCTTATTTGTTAATATTTCAACTATATCATTTGGTCTATTAATAACATCCCTTAATCCAAATCAATTTTTTGTAGCATTTTGCTAAAATCATATGTATAATTAAATAAAAAATAAACACATTGATTTGATATTAAAAATTATGGCTTAATAATAGTCTGCAAAAGATTCTCAGCATCTGCTGAATCTTTTTCCTTGCTTAATATATAAAATTCCAGTGCTGCAAATACAACATCATATAGTTCAATAGAGAGTTTCACTAACTCTTGTCTTTCAATGAATTTAGTTGGACAAAATCATTTAGTTTCTTTTTTTGATTCTTTGAGTTAATATCATGATACGTTTGAATAAACATGGAATATGACAAACTAGACCAGTTTTATGCAATGCAAAATAATTTCAAATTTATTTTAAAAAATGTAAAAATAACCAAATACTGTATTATTTATATAAATTAAAAACATAAAAATAATTGTTTTTTAAATTTCAAGCATTTATTATCAGGGATGTGAACCCGAACCCTCGTATTTTGGCTGTACCCGAATCCGGACCCATACTCTTTTTAAAAGTGGTGGAGGGTCTAAGAGTTCTAGGTGTCATAAAAAAATTTAAAAATATAAATATTATTTTAAAAAATATAAATTTTTTTAAATTTTATTAACTTTTTTTTGTGGAGTCATTTATTTTATTCGCGTGTTTCTTTCAATTATCTTCCTGGCATTTTATTTATAGATTGATATCATAAAATATTTTCTAGTGTACTAATAATTTATTATGTAAATTTATTAATGTGCTATGTAATAGAAGTACGTTGATTACTTTAAAAGTGAATTATTTTGTAGTGCAAGTAATAATATTTAATTATAATGCACAACACGTTGGTCCTCAATTTGACGCTAGAACGATTATTAAGTTTTAAAGATTTCTGTAATTATTTTATTATAGGGAAGTTATTTTGTCGGAAGATGATTGGTGCCAAATAAAGGACCTTACTAGTGTATTAATTCCTTGATAACAATATTAAGATTACAATCAGAACAATTATGTATATTTGAATGGCATATGGATTAGATGCGGATTAGATTTAGAAATATTTACAGACCTTTTTATACGAAATATTAGAAAACATGAAAATTCGAGAGCAACAATATTTTCAAAATAGTGATATATATGCTTCTATTTATTTAGACCCTCGATATCAAGTTTTATTGAGTATTGAGCAAAAACAAATGGCTAAAGACCATCTTAAGGATTTATGGCATACGCAAAACTCCATTATTTACAATATATTGGAGGCTACGACAATACCTACTGGTTGTAATGATAATAATAATGATAGCAACATTGATGATTTTGAAATTTTACTTTTATATAGATAAAAAAATCAAATTATCATCAGATAGAAAGGAAGATCAAAAAATGCTTATTGCATCTTTAATAGAAAAGTTCTCAGAAGTTAAGAGACTAAATAAAGATACAAATATTTTAAAATTTTGGGAAGAAAATTCTTCAACATATCAAGAATTATAATCTAGAATCTTCATGGCTGTACCGGTGACACAAGTACAATAATTTTATAAAGATAACTATTTATTTTAGGTAAGGATAGAATGTGAATTTTCATCTTTATTGTCTAATTTAAGTGGAAATCTCAAGGATGATATTTTAAAAGATATTATGATTGTGCGATTGAAAAAAACATTTAAAATATAAAATATTTCATTTTTAAATTTTTCATTTGTAAATTTTGAATATGTATATATTGAAGTATAATAATAAATGAATGAAAAAAAATCTTATTTCGAGTCATTATTTTTATATTCCCTGAACCGGGATCTTTTTAAATTTTATTCCTGTACCCGAACCCGGACCTGGACCCTTTTTTTTGTCGGAGGGTTCACATCCCTGTTTATTATCAATTTAGTAATTAAAATAAAAAAATTTTAATCTTACGCTACTGAACAGGGACCAATATGAATAGGAAAATATATTAGAGGTCTGCATTGGGCGGGTTTTTGGACCAAAAGCCCGTCCACAATGTTTTAAAAAAATTTAAGTTGTCAAAAAAATAAATACCCCCCGCCCATTTGTCTAAAATTCCTTACGCGCCCGCCCGCCCATTAGTTTAAAAATTTTTACCCGCCTGCTCATTATTTATAAAAAATTTTAACCCAAGCCCGCTTATAAAATTTAATTATGGCCATTCTTTCAATTTTTTAAGCATCTAATAAAAATATTTCAGCATTACACCTCTACAAAAAGTTTATAATTTAGGAAATTAATTTAATAAAAAAAATAATCAATTTAAATTTTATGGACAATTTATTTGATCAAAAATATTTATGAAAATATAAATATAAAATTGATATTTTTTGGTAATTATAATGCAAAAATAATAATAAATCGACATTTTCTGGATTCAAACACGTTCTTGTTTGTTCTAAAAACATTCCAGCAATGCTAAATCCTCGTTCAAAAGAAGCACTAGTTGCAGGTATTGCCAATATTTTTCTTGCTAATCTTGATAGTTTTGGCATATCTTTTCTAGTCGTTTCCACCAAAGTAGGATATCCGTTTGAAGTATATACTCTTCCTCAAGTGATATCCGGTATGGTATATATGTAAAACTCTTTTTTGAAGTGAGTACGGAATGATTAATCGACCATTACAAAATAAAATACCGTGCTAATTTTGTAATAGTTTTTATGCTATTCGGAATAGTAGCAGAACAAAATACTATACAGTTTTATAAACCGGATCTCGAGTTAATATTAGAAACAAATGCACCTAACCAAGGATTTGGAGCTTTACTCATGCAAAAATATGATAATGGTAACGAATTTTCAATAGCTTACACCTCAAGAACTGTACAAGATGCTGAAAAGAATTATTCTACAATAGACAAAAAAGCAAAAACAATAATAAACGGCGTAGAAAAATTTCATAACTATTTGTATGGACGAAAATTTAAAATAAGAACAGACCACAAACCTTTAATAAAGATATATGGTAATAGCAGAGATTTAAGCTCATTAACAAACCAAAGATTATTACGTTAGGCTTGTAAATTATCAGCATATGATTATGATATAATGTACAAGAATGGCGCTAATAATATAATTGCAGATGCTTTATCGCAAAACCCAATAGAGAAAAATGATGATATAATAACAAGCGAAAATATAACAATGAAATATATAAGAAATCTTACTTACGACAGATCAATTCTATCAAGAAAAGAACTAGAGAGGAAACCGCAAAAGATCCAATTTTAAGAAAAGTAAAAATATTTATAAATGGTACAAATATACAAAATCAATCATTAGAATTACAAACCTTTATAACATGAATAGATGTAATAGAAAATGATGACGGTATTTTATTTTGGAATGGCAGATTAATCATTCCGTACTCACTTCAAAAAAGAGTTTTACATATATTGCATACGGGACATCCCGGTATTACATCAATGAAATCCTTTATGAGACATTATATATGGTGGGTCGAAAAACTAATAAACAGCTATAGTGGATGTCAAAAACAATGCAGAGATATACAAAGTGTTGGTATACCAGGGGAATCCGTCATCACCCCTGGAAAAAGGAAGAAGAAAAAGAAAAAAATGTAGGAAAACAAGCAGACCAACTATGAACAGGGGAAGAACCAGTTGAAACCGAATAAATAAAAACAAATGACAATATAAAGCTAGGAGATGATAAAACAGTAGAAACAATGGAACCAAGTCAAGAAGGAATTCGACACCGATATCCAACGAGAAACGAAAGCCAGTAAAAAGATTAATAAATGATTCAAATATACAAATATACAAAATCAAGCACCAGAATTACAAGCTTTTAGAACAAGAATAGATGAAATAGAAAATGATGACGGTATTTTATTTTTGAATGGCAGATTCATTCCGTACTCACTTCAAAAAAGAGTTTTACATATATTGCATACGGGACATCTGGGTATTACATCAATGAAATCCATTACGAGACATTATATATGGTGGGAACAATTAGATAAAGATGTCGAAAAACTAGTAAAGTGTTTTTCACTTAAAAAAACGATTGGTACAACAATTGATCATTTAATTAATTATAATTTTTCTTTAGTTTATTTGAACAAATATTTTAAATTTCTTAACCCGCCCGCCCATAGTTTCAAAATTTTTTTAATCCGCCCGCCTGCCTATTCTCAAAATTTTTTTTACCTGCCCATCGGGCGGGCCAAAACCCCGCCCAATCCAGAGCTCTAGAATATATATCTAATAAATGTATCAAAGTAGTTGAAAAAATAGGAAACACAAAAATTATCTCCATCCATAATAACTGATAATGCAAGTAATATGAAGAAAGCATGGGCACTTGTAAGAAATAAATATCCAACTATTGAATACATCGGGATTGAAGGTCAGGGACATAATTTGCTTTTAAAAGACATAGCAAATAAAATATTGCTAATTAAAAATTAGTGGTAAAGACCAAAATGTTCTTTTATTCCCGATATAGGATTTTAAAAAATTGAGTTACTAGTTTTATAAGAGCAAATCTCAAGTTTATGGGAAAAGAAAAATATGCAAATGATGAGGCTATGATTTGGAATTGTTTTCATCTCCGAACGAAGATAATGAAAAATTAATTGAAATTATATCATACTTGTTTAAATAATATGTTAATAGTTTATATGTCTTTAATAAAATATGAAAAAAGAATCAATATTGACAATATTTTTTAAAAGGAAATTTACCGTTTTTCCCCCAAATTTTTATTTATAGTTTCCCGAGATATTTACATACCTATCTACAATATGTAGACCTAAAGATCTCCAATAAAATATGTGGCAGAAAAACCCACCCATAGTAAAATCCTGGTTATGCCTAAGTGTAATATCATTACAAAAAACTTGAAAATACACTGAAAACTTACAAAAAAAACATTACAAAATTTATATTTTCCTCGAAGTGTATTATTATATTAGCTGATTTTATTTGATAAGCAAGATTCTAGATTCTAATAGAATATTTAATATTATATTCTATATATATTTTGAGATTAAGTGTTATAGTAGTTTTTCACCCTTTTTGTTTATGTTACCTTTTTATTATTATATATTTTTATTATTATATTTTTTTACTATATATATCAGACTTGCATAGGTACTATTTGCACGGCCCGGCCCGGATTTTTGGAAAATATATTACATTTATTTTTAATTTTTATCGTTCGGTTTTTAAATATAAGGCCCGATCTGGATATTTTAAATTTTAAGCCCGACCCGGGTATTTAAAAAAAATTTTTAGGCCCGACCACTCTGATATATATATATATGTGTTATATGGAATCCATGAGGATTCGGAATATTTGAAAAATCTGATTTGATCCAAAATGTATTCCAGAATGTGTAGAACACCTATCTATAAATTTCAGAAAATTTGTATGAATTCAGTATACTTATAAAGTTCTATGCAAAATTGTCTGAATTCAGAATGTAGATGCTATATACATGTTTGAGCACATCTCCGGTTAAATCAGATTTTTCAAATTTAAAAACCGCTTTCAGTAATGATTTAAAATTGATACAAATAAAATACACGAAACTATATAATATCATAAAATTACATGGATTAACTTTTCAGTTATTTTATAACGCTCTGGTGGGATGACGGACTTCAATTTCAAGATTGTTATAAACAAACTTTAAATTTTTTTCTTTTTAGACTAATATTTCTAACTCTGAATAAATTAGTATAAAAAGTCAGAAATCAAATTTTTTTTTATTTGAACCATATTTTTTTTTAAAGTTAGATTTTATATGAAGAAAGCTTTAAACGTGAGGGGGAGGGGAGAATTTATGAATAAAATTTTAATACCGTCCAATTTATGTAAGAAAAATATAAGAAAATTAAATTTGCAATTTGAAAAGTTTTGTCTCATTATAAAATATAAAAATAATTTTATTTGCATAGTTACATTATGGATATGGATAATGCATAAAACATGTTAAAGGTAAGAAATACTAATAATACATTCTCATTTTGAAAATACAGGGTTTCCCATTCAAACAAGGAAAAGTCCCAATCAAAAAAGGAAAAGTGTCAATCATAAAAGGAAAAGATCATACCAAAAAGGAAAAGGTCATATCAAAAAGGAAAAGGGTAAATCAAAAAAAAGAAAAGGTCCGATCAAAAAGAAAGTGTAAAACAAGAAAGGAAAAGGTTCAATCAAAAAAGGAAAATCGTTATTTTTTTAAATATTTAAATTAAAAATAACTTGATATGTAAATCTATTTTTCTTGTCAATTTTTTTAAATTTAATCTTTTTTCTTATTTTATTTGTAACATTTTGCAATCTCTTTAAGTCATTTTTAATCGTTACTTTTCTTAATATTTTCTCAATTTTTTTTTCTTCTCATTTTTGAATATTCTATTTTGTTTTTTAATTTATTTATTTTTAATTTTCACTTGATTTTTATTTCTCATTGGCAGACAATATTTTTATTAGAATTTTTTACATATCAAATAATTTATACAATAACTGAATTAATTCAATCGTTTGGTTATATACCTTTTTAAAATTAAATAAGTTTTAAGTGTAATACCAAACGATATGTAAATTAATAGAATATAATCATATATAAATTTTACTTTTAAAATTTATTAATACAAGAAGCATTTAATACTTTCGAGCAAGTAAATGATTTTTTTGTAAATATTTTTAATACTATATCTTAATTAAACGTAAAAATGAGGTAAATGTTATAATCTAAAAAATTTCAGTCTTTTTTGTCATATTTTTGTTTTAAAAAATAAAATCATGGCGATATGGTAGTAAAAAGAAGAAGAAAACATAAATAGTGCAACAAAAGTCTTAATAATTGACACGTTAAAAAGGATAGTATCATTAATATAGCATTATGTTTTAAAGTAAGCTATAAAAGTGACAAATATAAAATAATCCCATCTCAAAAATGGAATAAAATATAGTTTACCCAAAGGAGGTTCACGTCCACGCAAATTTATATTTAATTGTATAAATTTGGATTGCACTTTATCCTTAAAAAGGTTATGCGAAAGATATGTAGAAATATCAAAAAATACAGTATCAAGTTTGCTATCAGAATTTAAGTATCTAGTTTAAAGAGGGTATCACCACTAAGTTCAGTTACGAGATTCACAAAGAATACGCGAATTGGTTTATGGATGTAGGCTATTTGAAATAAATTTATCTTTACCGATGAGAGCGGGTTTTCAATATCAATAAGGCGGGTATATAGATCAAATAAATAAAAAGACTATTAAAAATATACAAGGGATAAAGATAATGAATTATACTATCATTGCTGCTCTCACGAATGAGGAAATATTCAGATTCGAGGTTCTTAAAGGCCCCTGCAACGTTATACACTTTAGCAACTTTGTAAATGAAATATTAAATCATTTTGAAGAAAGTAATATGATGAATATGATCTTTGTAATGTATAATGTTCCATTTCATCATAACCATACAAGAGAATCGATAGAATGAAGAGGACATACAATAAAATATTTACCACCATATAGTCCTTATCTTAATCCCATTGTAAATGTGGTTTTTCAATAGAAGGATTTTGTCAGAAATCAAAATCCTAATAAGGAGGAAGAATTAATTCGTTTTATAAAGCATGGAGAGAAAGGAATACGAGGAGAACGCAAAGAATTATTTTAGAAATATATAGAATTAAATTCCAAAATGTTGAAGAGGGGAAATTATTAATGATTAATATAAATTTTTGTGAAAAAAATACTAATAAAAAAATTGTCTGCCAATGATAAATAAAATTAGATGAAAATTAAAAATAAATAAAAATTTTATAAAAGACAAAAAAGAATGATCAAAAATGATAGGAAAAAATTGATAGCAGTATATATTATTTAAAAAAATTCAAACAAATGAAATTTAACATAATGAATTATAATTTTTTATATTATACTTAAAACCACTACCGTCACTAAGGGTGGGAAGGAGAGGGGTGGGTGGCTCGAGCCCCTTAAGAATTTTTAAAAAAAATTTTATACCCAAAAAAGACCTTTTGAAAATAATTTAAAAAAAATTTTTTCCCCTGAGATTAAATCGAATAATATATTGTTCCTATTATAATTTTTTATCCCGATCAAATTATATGAAATTATTAGGTTCATAAATATTCAAAAGTTTAAAATTATTTTTAGCCTCTTCCTTTCTGAAGATTTTATTTTATTTATATAAAATATTATGCACCTGTTTTGTCAATTCAATCAAAATTATCAAAATAATAGATGACTAATAAAAAAATCAAGATTCTACGAAAATAATTTGTCTAGATATTTAATTTTTATTAAATTTTTTTAATGAAACGTTTTCTAACAATTGAACAAGCGCTTGCTCAACTTTTTGAAGAGGAACCAATTGAAGAAAGAGATATGGTTATAATTCCGCCAAACCCCTCTGCAGTTAGTGATGAAGAAGATTTCGATGAAAATGACTTAACAAATGTCGGAGTTTTGCCTTCAGATACAGCTGGAGAATTGGAGATTCATAATTCAGTTGATGACGACCTTCCAGAACCATATTCTACAAGAAGCTATTCTCGAATTTCTCACAATTTAAATGGAGAAAAACGGATGCAATATATTCTTCAAGCCCTTTCAATGGAGAAAGGGAAGATGTAATAAAACTTGAAAATGATTTACATGGTAAAAGTCCATCAGATATATTTTGTTTAATTTTCGAAGAAGACTTATATTCCCTAATTGTAGAACAAAGTAATATTTATGCTAAACAAATGAATAGACCTAACATATGCATAACCATCCAAGATATTCAGAGATTTATTGGAATTCTATTATTTACTGGATATCATTCTCTCCCACAAGAAAGAATGTACTGGTCTAATGACAGCGATATTTCTATTCCAATAATCCGGGATACAATGACCCAATTACAATTTCGAAATTTGAAATATAATATCCATTTGGCAGACAATACTAAAATAGATATACATGATAGATTTTATAAAGTTAGGCCTTACATTAATATATTGAATAATAAATTTCAGCAATTCGGAATTTTTAAACATCATTTATCAATAGATGAACAGATGATACCATATCGAGGAAGACATTCTTGCAAAATGTTCATAAAAGAAAAACCAATTAGATTCGGATACAAGTCTTGGATATTGGCCTCTTCCGACGGTTACGTATTCTCATTTGATATATATCAAGGAAAAAGGGAAAATAAATATGAATATGGATTAGGTGGAAATGTAATCATAAAATTATTAAAGGCATTGCAAAAACCAAATTATCATAAAATATATTTTGATAATTTCTTTACATCATTTAAACTCTTGTCATACTTAAAACAAATGGGATATTTTGCAACTGGAACTGTGAGGGACAATAGAATAGAGCATTGCCCAGTTAAATCTATAAAGGTTGTAGCAAAAAAAGAAAGAGGATATTATGATTATAGGTTTGAAAAATTAAACGAAATATTTGTAGTTCGTTGGAATGATAATTCGGTGGTGACCGTTGCATCGACATGCCACACTATCTCTTTGCTTTCTAATGTTTCAAGGTATTCTAAGAAAATATCTTCTAAAATAAAAATTCCTAAGCCAAATATGGTAACTGCTTATAACAAACACATGGGTGGAGTTGATCTATGTGATAATCTAATATCTACATATAGAATAAAAATAAGAGGAAAAAAATGGTGGTGGCCAATATTCACCAATTTTATTGATGTAGCTTTGGTAAATTCATGGAAAATCTGGAAATTCGTGAATCGAGATGACAAGAAGAGTTTGCTTGCATTTAGACGAGAAGTTACTAACTACCTCCTTCGAAGCCAGTAAAAATTGAAAAAAATTCAAGTACAGGTCACGCCAGCCAGTTTGCATTACAGTGTGAAAACCCTATTGATTCATCTGGACATTATTTATCCAAAATTATAGATGGAAAAAGACGAAGATGCAGATATTGCCATACGCACTCAAGATATATGTGCCAAACATGTCAAATCGCACTCCATATTAAATGTTTCAAGGATTTTCATAATATATAAACATTTTCTCGTTTTTATTATAAATTACAAAAAAAGAATAAAGATATTTGTTGTTTTTTTGATCTTATAGTATTTTATATAATTTTTATCTTTTTTAACCTCTTAATGGTTAACGGTGCATATATGCACCAGGCTAGATTTTCTATTTAGGATTATTTTTTTTGGCTGATTTTTTTAGAATATCATATTTGAGCATTAATCAATATAATTTGAAAAAATTGAGCATTTTTATCCACTAGAAAAATCTTGACCATTAATGGGTTAAGAAAAATAAAGATTAAAAATGACTTAAAGAAATTGGCAAAAAGTTAGAAATAAAAATTTGATATGGAATGGCCCATATACCTCAATGTCTAGATTACAGAATAAACTTGATTCGGGGTTTCTAGCTTATGTAGAAAAATTGCTTGAGAGATTTATAAAAATACAATCCCTGGTATATGGCATATGGCAAGGGGTAAAATGGCAAATTTGTGAGATAAGAATTTTCCAGGGCACCGACTAGAGGCTTGCACGTTTATTCTCGGGCTATAATAGGTGCCGATGAATAAATATTAAAAAAATAACTTGTTTAAACCTGACAAATTTAACTCATGAGTCTTTATAATTATTCACTATGTAATTCTATTGATAATGATATAATGGTGCCTTTTTAATTTATTCATGAACTATATTTTTTTGAAATTTTTTCTCTAAGAGCAATTATATCATCTTTATTTTGACTTAATCATGCAAATTATTTTTAAATAATCATAATAATTTTAAATTCGATTGTAATTTAACTTTACTTTTTATATTTAAACTGAATAAAATTTAATAAAACTTTTATATTTTGATTGGATTATGGAAGTTAAATATACCTACCTTTATTTAAGGTGGCACTATATGAATAAATACACATAATTTTTTAATTGTTTCCTAGATATTATAATATTTAAACTCAAATTATAGAGAAAAAAATTGGCTCGAGCTTGGATAGGGTTGGACCTAAAAATTTGTGCTCGGACTTGGGTCAGGCTGGGACAAAATATTTTTAAATTCATGCTCAGGTCGCGAAAAAATCACTTTGCAAGGCTCAAAAACCTGTGAAAACCAACTAAACCTTGATATATTTACCGATCATATTTAAAATGGCAGTGGAGCATATTCTTTCGCTAAAAATTTTTATTTAAAATAAAGCAAGAATAAATTATAACATTCTTATTATTTCTTAATCTTGGATTTGAAATATTGATTTAGTTAGAAAACAAATTTCACTAAAAGGTCAATAAATTTGTGATAAAATTCAAAAATGTGAGAAGTATTTTTTTTAAAAAACAAAAATTCATGTAAGTCAAAGGAATATTTTAAAAATAAAAAATATATTAAAAAATAGGTTTAAAACTGTTATTTTTATATAATTAGTAATTTTTATTGCTATTTAACAGAGTATCTAAACATCATTATAGAGGTATCTGTATCTATATACTATTTTAGATGTATCTATATCTATTTTTAAATATGTTTTGATATATTTATTTTATGTCATTTTATATTAAATTAATAATATTTGAATTAAATTCATCAATAATAAGATAAATCATAATTTTTAGATCAGTATATATATACAATCTCTGAAAAGAAATAAAATAATTTAATATGATTTTTTTAGGCAGCCTTTCGATGATATAAATTTTGACACATCCAATTTTGATTTTTATAAAAATGAGTATCGGAAATATATTTTAAATATCAATATAGGTTTTATTCATTAAATATAACAACCACTCTACCTGCCATCAAGTGCCCAGGTAGAAGGAGTTTAGTGGGACTAAACTTTACAAATAAACAGGGTTGCCTTAATGATAAAAATTTGAGAATATTTTATTATTAAAATCTAACAATTATTTAAATCATTTAATATATTTTATAAATATTAAAATCTATCAATCATTATTTTCAATATGTATTGTCAGGGATCCAAACCGAAACGAATATCGGTTCGGTTCAGGTTCGGATAAAAATAACGGTTCAAGGTTCAGGTTCGGTTCGCAAAAAATAAAAATATCGGTTCGGTTCGAACCTCTAAAAACCGGTTTGAACACATTTGTATTCAAACCTACATTAGGATTATGTATCAGGAAAAATGTTTTTTTTTTCATAATTAAAATAAAAACCTTCATTTTTATTATTGCACAAATATAAGAAATAAATATATCAATGATTAATTTAAATATGAACAATTACTTAAATTTTTTTTACTAAGCTGCATAATTAATATATTTTCCAAATTCTCTCACTCAAATTACATCTATAAGGAGATAATATAAATTTAATTGTTAAAACATCCTTCCACACTAACTTGGGTAGCTGGCATTGCCAGTATGATATCAGATTTGATGTGTCATTTATAATACTATATGTAAATAATTTATATATTAGATTAAATTTTTTTTTAGGCATTATAATTTATAAACTTAAAATATTTAAATATTGTAAAATGGCAATATACTAAAGTTTATAAAAATTATGACTGACGTTTGTTAATCAAATGTGATTAATAATAATTTTTAAAACAATTTGACTATAATTAAAATTTTTGCAATATACTACTAGTAATAACTTACACATTATTTTATAAGCATAAAATTATGAGACTCGAACCGGTTCAGAGGCATTTTAGCGGTTGGGTTCAGGTTCGGCTAGGAATTTTTTAGAGGTTTAGGTTCGATAAAAAATACAGGTTTTTAGCGGTTTAACGGTTCGGTTTGGATCCCTGGTATTGTATATAGATGTGATATCAGCTCAATAAATTTTTTAGCTCACTTTGAAATTTGAATTTTAACAATCGGATTCTAAATTAAATCTGTTGTAAATTATACTAAATCTAGACACGTTTTTAGTCGATGTATCTTAATCTAGATCCATTTTTAGATTATGTATCTGTATTAAGATCTATTTAAAAAGTATCTTTTAACAACTCTGCTATTTGAACATCATTATGCATATTCTTGGTTTTTAACCTATTTAGTATTATCTTATTCATAAGAGCCAAATGTGACGGATTTTAGGGTTAAAATATTTGTAAATTTTATTTTTGGCTGATTTGGGACATATTTTAGCTAAAATTAGTTATAATTCTTCAAAATTTTTAAGTATTTCTTATTAAGCCAGTTTGGGAATTTTATCCAAATTCAGGAAATTTGGATTTGTAATTAAATTAAATCCGTTTGAAAAAATTGCAAAATATAGTTAATCTTCACCTTTTTTATAATAAATAATGTATAATTGAGGGAGGGATCTGTCTTAAAGGATCTAAAAGGGTTAAGGGAGTGTTTTAAAGTTTAGGATCTCAATTTGAGTTTTTTGTTTGAGGGTAAGGGACTCGTTTTTAACCCCCGTACTTATTGGAATTTTCTTACCCAATTGATTTAAAAATTTTAGGGATTGGTGACCTGGTTTCCCAAAACACTAAAGATTAGAGGGATAAAGATAAAAGAATTTAAGAGGGACCTATATTTATAGCATTTTTGGATTTGTTGAAGTAAGAGGTCAAATTCTATTGGCGGGAAATGAGAAATACATGACACATCCCAGACAAATCTTCTGCCGCCGAGCTAAATTGTTAAAGACATACCACCAAGACGCTTACCCTCTCTCATTTAAAAGACCTAATGCCTCCGAACTATTGGGGAAACCGGCCGAAATTAAAGATTTGCCGATCAACCTATTTAGATTGTCATGTCGCAAAAAATGACAGCTGACTTTAAGGCAAGGGAAACAATACCTAGAAAATGGATCAACTTGCATATTGCAGGCAGCATAATGTCAACAGATGGGATAAGAAAACCCAGCCTATGGCCAATGGCAATTTGAAACTCATCGTTTGTGACATTCTAGCTATTCAGGGACGTTAGAAATTTTTTTTGCGTTTCTGAGTGGTTGAAGGTTAGTTAGATCGGGACACAAGCAAAGTTTTCAAATTCACATTGAAACATGGGACCAGGAAGCTCTTTAAATGGTTGGTAACAAGGTGATCGGACCTTTAAGAAGTAGAGTAAGCCAAGATTGCTTGGCCGAAGCTAAAAGTGGATCGTTAAAGCGAGGAAATAGAGTCATTATAAGATCTCTACGAACAAATAAAACAAGCAATTACCATTAAATTGGGGTTTGAGTATTTTTTTTATACTTAATGATTTTCCGATTACACATTCTAAAGTATTTTCTCAAGCATTATATAATAGGGTTGGCCAATTAAAATCAATTTGATTTAAATCACCCCAATTTTTTAAAAAAATCAATAATTTAAATATATTTTTAATAAAATTCCATTTACTAAATTTGTTTTAAATACTTAATATATGGAAAGATAAAAACTTATATTTTTTAGAATTAAATAATTTTTACATGAAAAATACTAAATTGAACTAGTAATCATTACTTATTTGATAAAAAAAATACTCGATTTATTTTCTATTTTATTGTTTCAATTTTTGCCATTGAATAATTCTAATCTCAATGTAGTGAGAAATTATTTAATATTTTTTGTTAAATTCAGGGGTGTGAGCCCTCCTTGAGGGCATTGGTTCTGTGAAAAATCTCTGAACGTTCAGGGTTTGCAATCTAAAATAATAAAGGCTTATAAAATTTAGTAAAAATACCAGAAACACAGTTAAAATAATTTTATCATTATAATTTGAATAATAGAACTATTTAAAAAATAATATTCAATTTGTTTTTTAAAATTTTATAAGAGAATTATCATGATATCTTCCAAAATCTAGATGTTAAAATTAAAAGATCGATTTTTTATGCTTAACTTTGACAGTGCATTGCAACTTTTCATGTACTCGGCGTTGGTATTTGAATTTAATTGTTAAAAAAAAACTAGTTTTCCTAAATGATTCTTAAGTTTGGAATACACTCCATATGATGAAAATACTCTACTGAAACTATTGTCTATGAATTAAATGGTCTGGCTGACCCTTATTCATTTTTATTATTATTTCATATGGATAATTTTATTAAACGGGTCAAATGTAGCTTAAAATTTTACCATGATTAAACAATTATTAAGTTGATTTTAAGGATGATGAGTTATAAAAACAACATATAATAATCTAATATATATAATCTCCATAATCAAAACATGATCGTTTTGGTATCTTCCTAAGGCCACTTCCAAACCAGGTGTTTGTAAATAGATGTCTGAGACTTATTAATGGATATATATATCCTAGAGTCATTTCAAATGTAAGTCTATGGAGTTTATCCAAACATACTCCAGTAGCGGTCCAACTCAAAAAGAGAAGAGTTCAACTGTTTGCTCATATTATGAGGAACGCGAATAATAATTTAGCATTTGTGGCCCTTAGTTGGCTCCCGATATACAAAAACAAGAGCTACTACAAATACAAAACGTACTGGCTAAACAAAACCCTAACAGATATCGTAAAGATGAATATTAGCCTAACGCAATTCACCCAGATAAATAATAATAAAAACGCGATAAATAAATTGTTAAAAATAAAGGCCAATTACCTTATTGACCACTAATCTCCCCCCACGATAATACGTTGTGACACTTCCTCCCTGTCCCCATCATTACTTCATCTATGAAGTGAGAACGGTAAATATTATTATTTTATTTTAATCATATTTATTTACAGATTATATGAACATTATAGCTACTCCTAAGACTTAAATTGTAAATTGTAACATTGCCAATATGACCCTTCCATAATCAAAACTTACTTAATCGGGCATGGGCTTTTATCTGTCCCTTTTACTTCCCATGGGCGTTTAAGTGAGTGGCTTTGCCACTTACGCGCACAGGTAACTGCGGCCTGCCCAAAAATCGTAGATGGTCCTCTTAATTATTTTCCCATTTTCTATCCCAGTTTGATGGGTTTTTTTCATAAGAGAACCAAGCGTTGCTCTGTTGTATATATATTTCTATATGTACGACGTTTTAGGGCTAGTGCGCTTAATATCACGTATCACGTATTGTCTATAAATTAAATGGTCTGGCTAACCCTTATTCATTTTTATTATTATTTCATATGGATAATTTTATTAAACGGGTCAAATGTAGCTTAAAATTTACCATGATTAAACAATTATTAAGTTGATTTTAAGGATGATGAGTTATAAAAACAACATATAATAATCTAATATATATAATCTCCATAATCAAAACATGATCGTTTTCGTATCTTCCTAAGGCCACTTCCAAACACGACGTTTTTTCAAAACGTTTTCCGAGGCACGTTTTTCGCAATATTTTTTACTACTAAACAGCAACGATTTATATTTTACAGCTGATTTTTTAAAAGCGAATCTTATAACTAGATATTTTATTATGAGACATTATAAAAAAAACGAAAAGTAATTATAATTTATAAAGAAAGAGATCTGTATATGATCTATATCAATAAATGAGAATTTAAATGATTCGCAATTCTTTCACTATCTTGGATTATCTAGGAATGTTTTCTATTATATACTTAACAAAATTGAAACTAAAATTATATATAAACAAACAAATGCAAAAACAACAATATCTCCTGAAAAGAGATAATTTGTTACTTTAAGGTAATATATTTAGTTATTAATATATATACAAACCATTTAAGATACTTAAGAACGGGCCTTAATTATTCACAACTATCTTATAGTAGCAGAATAAACAAAAGTTGCATTGCTACTATCATTCCAGAGGTATGTGATGCTATATGGAAAACTTTAAAAGATATTCATATGCCAATTCCAACTAAAGAACATTGGGAGAAGGTATTATAAATTTAGATATAAATATATTTTTAGATTGCCCAAGAATATTTTGAAAAACATGGATTTCCAAACTGCCATGGCTCATTGGATGATAAGCACATAAGAATAAAAAGTCCTGCAAAATCTGGAACCCTTTTTTATAATTATAAAGCTTTCAAATCTATAGTGTTACTTGGTTTAGCAGATAGTAATTGCAAATTTATATATATAGATGTAGGATCTTATGGAAAACAAAGTGATGGTGGCACTTTCAGAAATAGTAGTTTATATCAAAGTAAATTTTTAATTATTTTAGAATTAGAAAGTCAAACACTTTATATTCCTCCTCCTAAACCTATGCCAAATTATATCATTGTTCCACATGTAATTATTGCTGATCTAGCCTTCCCACTAAAAAATTATCTAATGAAACCTTATCCTACGAAGAATACCAGCCCAGAAGAAAAATATTATAATTATAAATTAACTAGAATGTGCATTGAATGCACATTTGGCATAGCTACTGCTAAATTTGCCCTACTTTCTAAAGCTATAGTGTTCAGTTGAAAATGCTGATAAAATTATATCTACAATTACTCTTTTACATAATATTATTATTGATTATGATAAAATAGAATATACACCTAATATTTTACCTATTACTGAAAATTTAGGGATCAGTAGATCTTTAAATGCTTCAAGTTCTAATTCAAGAGAAATTAGAGAATTATTTAAAGACTATTTTAATTCTTAAATATATGTTTAATTTAACATTTTATCATAATATATTAAATAAATAAATTACTTTTGTATGTGTATATAAATTAATAAATTACTTTTGCATGTGTATATAAATCACTTATGTATGTGTATATAAATCATTTATTTTAATTTAAACTTATAAAATAATACATAACTATTTAAACATCAACATTTTCTACTATAATATTATTTATATAATTATAAATAAGAGTTTGCACACTAATTTTCATGGCGTCCTTAACTTCATTTGGCACCTTCTTTACATTATCAACCAAAGACAGGCACCATAATCTATCTGGGTCATTATCAATTTCTAACATTTTGTCAAAATATCTTTCCATTGGGTCTTTTGTTACTCTAGCCCTATTTACAGGTCTTACATTCTCTATATTATCTGTGATATTATTTAGTGTCTTTCTTGGTGTGGTGGAAGTAGTAAGAAATGATAGTGAATCATACCATTTCCATGGAGTGCTAGCTTTTGCAGCATCCCCTGAATGCACTTCTTCTCTCTTTCTCTTTTCCTTTAAATAAGAATCCCTCAAATTCTTCCATTTTAATTTACAGACATTTGGGGATGAATCAAGCCTGGTAAATAATAAAGGATAAAAAATAATTTTATTTAAATAAAGATATAAATTATTAAAATTTATATTCCATGCTTACTAATAAATAGTATCTAATTAAAAAGTCTGTTAATTAAAAATTATTATTATAAAATAGTCAATATTTTCAATATAAAGTCTTGTTCTACTTTTTAGCACATAAAGTCCATAGTTCATCTACTAATAATCTATTAGAATAATTATCATTAGATTGGTTCCATAAATCGTCATGCTTCTACAAAATTTATCAATTCAGATACAAAATTTCCTCTAAAATCATTTCATTTGAATATAAAAAAATTACTTATTCATTTCAATTGTATCAGACGCCATTTAATCGTTAAAAAAAATCAAGCTAGTTTGTTATTAAAATAATCGCAAAATCGTATGCATGAAAAAATCGTTTGGTTTGGAAGCACACATCTATTAAGCTTAATTTGTTATTTATCGCTTTGAAAAAACGTCGTGTTTGGAAGTGGCCTAATGTATTTAAAATTTAAGGAAACTGTAGTGTTTTTTTTGCTCTCTACGAGAGTCGAACACAAGCCTCCAGTTTCAAAGTCGTATGTTTTAAACATGCACCAACTTGAATATAATTAAATTTAAAATATTAATTATATATATATGCATTAATTAATAGCTGATATTTTTAATATTCTGCCCTTTATTATCATACTAGCTGACGGGGTTGAAGGGTAATTATTTAGTTTGTGTATGGTACTAAATATATTTTATTAATAAATTTTATATATAAATATTAAAATTTAGGAGAAAAAGAGGTAAAATTGTTGCAATGTATACCGTGAGCATGTATTTTAGAAATATCAAAATTTAAATTTGATGGAAATCATTTTGGATAAAATTTAAAATAGAGAAGCTTTAAGATTTTTGAATTTTAAATATATATGGGTTATACATTGGCCTAAAAAATTTTTTTGCAGACATAGCCAGGCCTGATCAAAAAACCAAGTCCCATGCAAACTTTATAAAATTTTGCCATTTATTTTTATTGTAATTAAATAAAAATGTCTTAAATTTAATTTTATATTTAGAATAAAATTTAGATTTGTGATAGAAATCATATTGTGTAAAATATTAAATAGAAATGCTTGAAAATTTTTAATTTTAAATATGGGCTAGACATTGGCCTGAAAATTTTTTTTTGCAGAAATCGCCAGGCCTGATTAAAAAACCAAGCCCGTGAAACTTTCATATTCTGATTTTATTTTTAAATGAATTATGACTTTTATATATTTTATTTTAGTTTTCAACTAACAAAATTATTATGATCTTTGGTGGGCTTGAGAAAATTTTCCCAACAATATGGTTTTCAGCGATTTACCTATCTCCAGGCTTGGGAAAAAATTACAAAATTATTATGGGTTGGCCAGGTTTGAGAAAAAAAATTTCAGGCCAATGTCTGGTCCATATTTAAAATTAAAAAATTTTCAAGCATATCTATTTTAAATTTTACCCAATATGATTTATATCACAAATTTAAATTTTATTCTAAATATAAAATTAAATTTAAGATATTGTTATAAAATTAAATTTAAGATATTGTTATTAAATTACAATAGAAATAAATGGAATATAAAATTAAATTTAAGACATTGTTATATAGAAATAAATGGCAAAATTTTATGAAAGTTGCATGGGACTTGGTTTTTTGATCAGGCCTGGCTATGTCTGCAAAAATATTTCAGGCCAATGTCTACCCCATATTTAAAATTAAAAAATTTCCAAGCATATCTATTTTAAATTTTATTCAATATGATTTCTATCACAAATTTAAATTTTATTCTAAATATAAAATTAAATTTAAGACTTATTAAATTAAATTACAATAGAAATATATGGCAAAATTTTAGGTAAGTTGCATGGGACGTGGTTTTTTGATCAGGCCTAACTGTGTCTGTAAAACAAAATTTTGAGATGTCTAGCCCATATTTAATATTCAAAAATTTTGAAAAATCTCTATTTTTAATTTTACCCAATATAATTCCTATCACAAATTTAAATTTTGATATTTCTAATACCCTTAATGCTCACGGGTTACATTGCAACAAATTTACCTTTTTCTCCTAGATTTTAATATAAAGAATATATAGTACCATATACACAAACTAACTAATTACCCCTTAACCCCGTCATTCATGACGGGTTATTAGCTAGTAATTAGATAATAAACTAGTCTAATTTAGATATAGTCATTTTTTTAATTTGTGAAATATTCAATTTAAATGATTAGATTGCTAATTTGGTTGGTGTAATATTTTGTTATAAACAATTGATTTATCCTCAGAAAAATAATTATTAAGCCATATTTATCATAATATAATTTAAAAACTAGCAGCTATCAGAAAATGGAGGAGAGGTTAAAAGATCTATAACTTAAACATTGGTGAATTTATCTATACCAAAAAGGGTTTTACCAACTGGAAGAAAGTTCTTGAATAAACGAACATTACAATTTCAGAATACATAGAGGAAGAGGATCCTAAGACTAAAGATTTTTCCATAGTTTTTGTATAAACTAATACAAATTTTAAAAAATTAAATCAAGATGATGACCATTTTATTTTTCTAGACATAAATAAATTAAAATCTTTATTGGAAAATATTATTGAGGAGGGATTAGTAAATTAAATTTAGATTGTTAAAAAATTATTTACTAAAAATTAAAAAATTATAAAGATTGAGTTATATCAGATTTTGTCTAATCCATACAAAAATACTTTTTAAATATTCTGTATCAAATTAGATCAACTACATCAAGTTGAAGAACTTTCCATTAAAGAGAATTATTAAATCAGAAAGACGTTTGAGTAGTAATATAAGAAAGGGTAAAGTTTTATTATAATATGGAGAAAATCATAACTGACACTATTAATTTTATAAATGTTTTAAAGGCATTTAAAAATATATCTCAACCAAAATTATATTATTGATATTTATTTTTTATTAGTGGCGTCACTAGCCTTCACAATCTCAGGGGACTCAAAAAAAATTATTTTAATTATTTTATAGCTAATATAATCGCCGGGGTGGCCCAGTGGTGTGTGATGTATGCTTGTAAACTGAAGGTCCCAGGTTCAATCCTGGTAAGGAACTAAAAATTTTCGGGTTTTTCTCAATGACAGTTGGCTTTAGACATATGATATGATAATTTTCTGAGCCGAGAAATGCCACCCCAGTCACCGACAGGCTTGGACAGCCGGGTGCTAGGATACTTGTCCAATAAGCCAAAAAAGACGGCCAGGTGAATTTGTGGGTCAGATGATAACGAATTCTTGGCCAGTACTAGGATGGTGGTGACCTCAGGGGCCGCTCAAGCTCAATGTCTACCAATACAATGGACTTGATAACGATACTCCGGTGGGAGATCCATCAAGATTGATACTCCAATTGGAGATCAGGATTGGGATACTGTCAATTTGATAATTTGGTGTGAGGAATACTCCGGTTGGATATATGGTCGATATTGATTTGATACACCAGTGGGAGATCAAGATACTTTGGTCTTGATAGCGATACACTGGTAAATCGATCAGAAATACAAATATAAATTAGATAAAAATAGATAGCATGAGTAATAATAAGGTGGAGATAGATAGTGAAGGAGCTTATCACCATAAAAGGTGAAAGCTAAAAGGAAAAAAAAAATTTTATAGCTAATATTATCAAAATTATATTGGTATAAAAAAATCAAAATTTTGAGAGGCCTCTTTAAATTTTTCAGGGGGCTCAAGCCCCTGCACCTCCATCTAGTAATGATACTAGTTTTACAGTGCTCAATCATTGATCATAATATCAATTATAATATAGTTATAAATATTTTCTTATTTACAACATTTTATAATTGAATCCCTAAAAGGTATTATACAAACATAATTAAACTATATCAATGTTATTGCATAATATTTGTAAAATTAAATCAACTTATTTCTTGTCAGCCATAAGTCAATTCTCATCTTCCATCTAATTTTATAAACATATTTGATCATTATTATATTATGTGGTATTTTCAAAAAATATTATATATTTCAATTTTGTGTTCAAATAACTCAAATATTTGTTCTATGGTGTTGAA